GTAGCAGCCTCACACCCACCAAACACCTACAAGAGACAAAACTGCCCCAGACTGAAGATCTGACCTAAGGCACAGAAATCCTAAACAGAGAGACAAGAACAGATGCCCCTTGACCCACAGTACCTTCAGAAGACAGAGGACAGCTGCCCCTTCAAACACAGCACCTTCAGAAGATGGTGATTCAGATGCAGAAGCAAGGGCTGTGGAAACTTCGCCTCTCAAGGCTGTAATTTCCTCACTATCAGCTCATAGTGAGAAGAGTAAAACCTTAGGGGGAAATGAGGTGAATAATTGTGGCTGAGGTGGTAGGGAACAAGGGAAGCTGCGAAAATGACCAGTTTCACCTGGTGGGAGAGCCAGGAACCCCAAACGCTTAATTGAGCAATGTTTGGGTTACAAAGGAAGAAAGGGAACAGAGAGGTGGTAAAAAGTTGATGACAAGGGGGGTGGGTTTGATAGGGAGCTTGGGAGCCACAGCAGTCACTGATAGCAGTTAATGTTTCACCCAAGAAAGAAGTCACTTTCCAAAACTTCACAGAAAGAGTGGAGGAGGAAGAAAAGATCCCCAAGGAAGAACAGACCTATTAAAGCTTCCATCTTTAAAATGGGAGGGTGAAGCTAGGTGTGGCGGTGCATGCCTTTAGTCCCAGCACTCAGGAGGCAGAGACAAGTGGATCTCTGCGAGATCAAGGCCAGGTTGGTCAACACAGTGAGTTCCAGGCCAGCTGAGGCTATAGGGAGACCCTGTCTCAAAAAGACAAAAAAAAGGGGGGGGGGTGAAGAAGTCTCCAGCTGCTTTCTCCAGGGTACCGCCTCTCCTCCCACTCTACCCTCCAAACACCAGATATAAAACTACTAAGCTGGAACACTCTACAAAGAGACAAAGGTCAGTCATGGGAAAATCTGGGGATGCCCTGAGAGGATGTCTCCACACCATTAAATTTCCTCTCCATTGACAGGATTCTATATTTCTTCAGTTCTACCCTGGTTTTAATTTTATAAACCATAGATAAGTTTGCTCTTTAAGACCTTTGTAATCATAAAAAGCCTATAAGGAGCAGTTACCACTTCCCTAAAAAGAAGTAAGAACAACCCAGCTGAAATTCGAAAGGGTAAAGCAGAATTAGAAAGAAACTCTAGGAACTCTGAGCTGAGGAGTTTGAGCTTGACTTTTTACTCTTTCCAGAGTTTCAAATATGAAAGCATTAAGCTGTGAGATTGCTGTTTTTCCTGTCAGTACTGGGGACTGAACATAGGACCTCATGCATACTAGGTAAGCATTCTACTAATGGGCTGTAGCTCGGTCCAGCTGTTGGACTGTTTTGGTTACTCAAAATTTCTGAAGTCACTGGTAGAACCAAAGGTGTTAAAAGCTCAACCCTATGTCTTCTTGACTTTTCCTAGAAAATTCTAAGAGGAAGAGAGATTCTACATAAACAGCATCTAGGAAAATATCCTTGCAGGCATTTTCAGAATGAAGAGAAAAGGCCACCAGCTGTGACATCCTTGCTGCTTAGCGCCCCCCCCCCCCCCCCCCCCACAGTTAAGTTCAAGCTCAAGCGGCATATAAAAAAAACAACAAGCCCCCACCACACAGTAAAACCCTTGACCAGAGAAAGTATGCCTGAAAGATTAACCTGTTCTGTAAGATCCATCACCAGGGAGGCCAAGGTGTGATCATCTAAAAAAACAAAACAAAACAAAATAGAGGCTGGAGTCCAACTTAGTGGTAGAGTAAGTATGCAAACTGGGACTGGGCTCAGGGTTGATCCCCAACACTGCTGGTTTGAGAAGTGAGAGATGGGTGCTTGTGCCAGTTCAGGCTAACTAGACTTGGTGATTTGCAGATATTACACATCTCCTCTACACTCAATGCTCACATCTGTAAAATGAATGAGCATCTGCAACAATTCTGTGCACGCATTCATTCAACAGACATTTGCTTGGTTTCGTTTGCTTCTGTTTTTGTTTTTGTTTGAGACAGAGTTTATTTGGCCTAGGCCTCAAAATCATAATCCTCCTGCTTCAGCCTCCTGGTGCTGGGATCACAGGAGTATGCTGCCATGCCTGGCTTCCATTCAACAAATGTCTGGTGATACCCAAATATCAAGTGTTAGTCCAGGCACTTGGAAAAACAGCAGTAAATAACAATAATAGCAAAAGGACTTGATCCCCTTTGTAGAGCTCATATTCCAGATTCTAACACCTATCACAATCAGCATTTTCAGACCACAGGCTATAAAAGCCATTTAGCAACAGTACCAGCTGAACACGACAGAAAAGAAATGGAACAGAACAGAATCAAAGCACACATGATCACATCTCAGGGATAAGTTCTGTCTCATAAAATGTCCTTTATTGATTGTGCGTATTTATGAGGGTTATGCGTCAGGACAGAGGAGGCATTTCTGAGTGTGGGTTGACTATGCTAAAAGCATTCAGCAGCCCCGATAAAAGACCTCTTTTCCTGCCAGCCACTGGCTCGTTTCCTACTCTCCACTCAAACTGCTTAATATCTGCCCACTGACTGTGTCTCATCACTTTAGCCTTTTGCCTTATTGATGGCAAAGGCTATAACTCAAAGAATCTAAGTAAGATGCCTTCTTACGTCAATTCTCTTTGTTTGCACAACTAGCCTGCTGATTAAGAAGGTACACAGTGGGGGCTGGCAAGATGCCTCAGCAGGTAAAGGCACTTGTTGATTCCCAGGACCCACAGGGTGGAAGAAGAGAACCAACCCCCACAAGTTGCACACACACACACACACACACACACACACACACACACACACACACACAAACATACACCAAAAAAAAAAAATAAAAAAAGAAAGTATACAGTGGCCAAAAGACACACAAATAATAGGGGGCTAGAGATGATGGCTCAGTGGTTAAGAGCACAGGACTTTTCCTATAGAGGACCAGAGTTTGGGGCTTAAACCCACATCAATGGCTCACAAGTGCCTATAACTCCAGCTCCAGGGGATCTGACACTATCTCTGGCCTCAACTGGCATGTGCATACACACATACACACACACACACACACACACACACACACAATTAAAAATAGCATTTTTTAAAATCCTTAAATAAGTAGTAGTCCCAAGAGTTTCTACACATGAACACAAAGAGTACAAACAGAGAAGCTGTCATTCCTTCCATCTGCAGCAGTCAGGAACCACACTTCCGGATCTCCATTTTTATTTGGCTATTTAGAATCATGTGTGTTCTGGGCTGGAGAGATGGCTCAGTGGTTAAGAGCATAGGTTGCTCTTGCAGAGGACCCAGGTTCAATTCCCAACACTCACATGGCATCTAACAACCATCCTTAACTCCAGTTCCAGGGGGGATCCAATGCCCTCTTCTGACATGGGTGCACTTACATACATGCAGTCAATACACTCATACATATAAAATAAAAATAATAAATATTTTTAAAGAATCATGTGCATTCCTACTAGATGACTGCTTATGGTAGTTTCTGCTTGTTTTAAAAGACATTCCCTCTCCTTTCAATAATGTAAGCAAAATCTGGGCAAGTGAGGGCATATGAATGGGGTTGTATTTGTTGCTGTTCAATTGCTTTTTATGCACTTTTTAGTCACACCATCCCAAAGCTCCTTCAGACTACTTTGAGGAATGATGGGGATAATTTTTAGAAATTTGCAAAGGTATACTCAGCCCACACATGCCACTGTTTTGACAGAAGACCTTGAAAGGTGGTCACATTTATAACTAGAAGATGAGTAGAGGTGAAACAGACAAGAGCAACCAAGGACTAAAGTATGCAGGGCAAGCCTCCCTGGGATCCCTGAGCGTCTGGAGGCTATACACATGCCACTTTGGCTCTGCAAAGTCACAAGATTTCACTGATGGAGCTCTAACTTCCCTATTGTGGACACTGCTATGATCCACAAGATTCAGAAGTTAGAACAAGGCTATCCTTTTAGGTACTGTGTAAAAGGGAAGCCCAGTGATCCCAGGTGGACCACAGACAAGGGAAGTGAGCCAAGGAAGTGAGTTCTCCACAGCCCAACTCCCCCAGCAGAGAGCTAGCAGCTGCCGACCTCTACGTCAGCCCTATAATCGTCAATATTTGTCCTTTCCTGGAAATCCAAATTGCATCCCAAAGGTGGCAACTAGGAGGTGGAGGCATGTTGCATTAGGACACATTTACGGTCACAAATATCTAAACCCCAAGTACCTGCAACAGGTTTCACACTAAACTCTTTACCATCTGTTTTCTAAGTCTCATGGTCTGTTGCTTAAAAAAGAACAAAATGTCACCTATTCTTCACTAGTAAGGAAATAATTAACTTCTTCTGGGAAAAGCTGGGTTGCTTCCTTGGCTTGTTACAGAGGAGGTCATTTAGCCATCTCCTCTCACCGACTAGAAAGTAGGACCCAGCCAACATGGTAGCAGTGGCTGGGCCCCTCGTCCCAACTTCCTAATGCCCTGTGCTGATCAACTGACTGTCCTGACCAGGTTCTAGCCTTGTGAACAGTTTCATGCCACCATGTGGGAGAGAACAACTATTTCCAAATTTTTCTTTCTAAACATTCTATGGCCTGGGTATTTTGCTATGGAGCTCTTAGTCTTCCAGAACAAAATCCATGACACCTATCACAAGCTCTTGAATGTGGTCAGTGCTAGAGATGCTTAGCATTGTTTACCAAGACAAATTCCAGTCAGGTTTCACAAATTACTCAGGTGATTTGAACCTAAGGTCTTCAGACCCCTGTTTGTTAATTACCATCAACCACTGAGTGATCAGCAAACCTCTAAAGGACACAGAAATAGTGCTAACTTTAAAACCCAACTTCCCATTCCAAATATTTAACGAGCCACCCATCTGTTTGTATTGAATCTAGAACAGCTTGGCTACAACACAGCAACTCCCTGGCACATCTTTACACTAATCTGAAAGCCAAATGAACCCAACTTACTTACATCTAGGTTTTATCACAGTAAACCGAACTTTACAAAATCAATAGTTACCAAAGTTCTGCGTAGGTGATCCGGGTGGAGACGAATCTCCACTGGGAGACAAGTAGAGGTAGTTTTTGTTCACGCCGGTATCAAAATCAAATGGGGACTGGTAGTCCTCACACAGGTCTGTGTTTCTACAATCCATTCCAGGTGAAGGCAGAAGACATGGCACTACATTCACCTAAAATTACTACTCAGCCCAGGGATGCCGGGGCCACATCCTCTCTGCACCCTGGAGTCCCAGTGAGGAAAGGAACCTGGGTTCAGAGGCCCCGCCCCACTTCTGGGAGTCTTCACAGCCTCACCACAAGCAGGTCTTTTAATAAATGACTCCACCCAGCACCCTTAGGACGCTCTCTCTATTCACCACCTGTTGTTAACTTCGGTGGACAAAGAACAACCTGGGCAGAGGGAGTGCTTTCCTCAACACAAAGGAGAGCCGGGCTCTGCAGTCCCACTCAGATGTACAAACAGTCCAAGCAGACACCAGATACTGGCAGAATTACAAATAATACAATTTATTTAAAAAAAAAAAAATCAGCTGACCACAGCTTTACCTGGGCAGACTTAATCTCCCAGGACAAGGAAGGATTATCAGTCAGTAATCTCCCGCAAATACCATCTGGGTGATACTTTTCCTGCACCCTATGTTACCACAGAATTCTAAAAGTCGTGCTTCCCAGTTTAACAACCAGCTTTCTAAGCATAACACGACCCAAAAATAAAGCTGTATTTTCATCATCACTCTTCTCTAAAGTGGAGTCTGCATTACTGTCAGAAAATTTTCAATCTTTTTCTTTTTGGAAGACTGGTGTTTATATGCACTGAAAAGAGAAGAACCAGCTTTCAAGGTGCAGCCAGCTCCCCTGTGTTCTAGCACCTTCTTTATTTAACCAAGGCCATGCCCTGAAGGTTCTACAACAAACCTGTTTCCCTTGGCACACCCACTTGGCAGCCAAGGGGCCACAATAAGCTTGTAAATAGCCAAGTTAATTTCCTTTGGCACAGGTCTCTCTCTTAGCAGACAAAACCTTTCCAGGCTCATAGTGGCCTCCACTGCAGCTAGACCGCACTTGCAGCTCCTGCTGGAACTAATATTAAGAAGGGGAAAATATATCAAGCCAGGCATGGTGGCCCACGCCATGAGTTTGAAGTGAAATAACTAGCTGAATAACATAAATAAATAAACAAATAAGGAGTGTCCTACCTTTTCAAATCCTTAAGAACTCAATGTATATGCTCTGAAATGGAAGCAAATATAAAACCTGAAATATTTTAACTATTTTAAAAAATCAGGTGACTGCTCTTAAAGAGGGCTCTTCAATTCCCAGCACCCACATGGCAGCTAACAACCATCTGTAACTCCAGTTCCAGGGGATCTGACACCCTCTTCTAACCTCCTCGGGCACTGCAGGACACGGTGCACTTACATGCGTGTACACTCATACACATAAAAATAAATAAAATATTTAAAAATAAATCAGTATATGGCTAGTGTACATATATGTATGTATTAAGGTAGTCTGGATTCATTTCAACTTATGATTGATTTTTTTAATATTTTTTGCTTAGTCTCATATTTTTATTTACTATATCTTTTTTTTATTTAAGCTTTTTAAGAGTTTATTTTTAAGAAAAATATCTGTATTTTCCTTCTTAAAGGTGCCAAAATTTTTGCAGCTACGAAATGCTGTTCATTTGCTATTTAGAAGTAGAATAAATGGCTTTTTTTTAAATATATATTACTTGAAAGAATGAACTGTCAGAGCCAGGGACAGTTGCTCACACTTATAATCCCAGCACTAGAGAAGCTGAGGTAGGAGGATTAGCATGAGCTCAAGGCTAGCCTGAGCTAAATAATGAGTTGTAGGCCAGTCTGGACTACAGAGTGAGACTCTGTCTCAACAACTACAACAAAACCTGTCGGGTTTCCTGAAGTCCATTGTCTCTTCACTCTGAGAGGACACAAATCAGGGTTATGTCCCTGGACTAGAGATGGCTCAAGGGTCCCGGGCCTCCTCCACAGTCTCTGCATTTAGTCACTACACACTGGTAAAGAAAGCATCTCTCAGGCTGGAGAGATGGTTCAGCGGTTAAGAGCACTGACTGATCTTGCAGAGAGAACCCAGGTTTGATTCCCAGCACCCACATGGCAGCTAACAACCGTCCTAACTCCAGTCCCAGGGGATGATGCCTTCTTCTACCTCCATGAGTATTGTACCACATGGGTGCACTCACACACATGCAGGCAATACATGCATATACATAAAATAAAAATAATAAATAAGCCTAAGCCGGGTTTGGTGGCACACGCCTTTAATCCCAGCACTCGGGAAGCAGAGGCAGGCGGATCTCCTGAGTTCAAGGTCAGCCTGGTCTACAGAGTGAGTTCCAGGACAGCTGGAGCTACAGTGAGACCCTGTCTCAAAAAAGATAAATAAATAAATAAATAAAATATTTTTTTTAAAAAGAAAAGAAAAAGCATCTCTCCACTGCTTTCGTGGCTTTCCCTGCTTGGAGCCACATGTGTTAAAAAGTAACCATCACCACCACTGCAGATGCAATGCAGGCCACAGCCACCTCCATGCATCTCACCTTCTCAACCCCATGCCCCAGAACTGCCAGTGCAGTTACCCAAGCCACATGCTGTACTGGAAGTGCTGCCCTTTTCTCTGCTAGCCGAAGTTGTGAATCCTTCAAGACTCGGCCACCTCTTCTCAGAAGCCCTTCCAGTTCCTGCCCATCCAGCCTGGCTGTAGTACACACGTGTGAAAGACCCATCTGCCAGCCATCTGTCTCATCACCTCCCCACTGCATTCTCCGCTGTCCCTATGCAGAAGATGTGACTTGTAATCAGTGCAGAATGAAAATAGCCACTAAGGTCTTATTTTCGAGTGTGATGACTAAGAATTTAAGTAACTGTCTAAAGTCTTATTCCCTACCTGCTTCATTCAATCTATTTTAGGTCTGTGACATAAATCCCAGCTCTGGGAACAAGTTCACATTCCTATCTCCCATCAGACCCCAGCCCAGACATTCCAGCCTTGAAAACAGTGGGAACAGCCAGGCAGCCATGGGAAAAGCATGGGTGTGTTCCTGGAGTGGTAAACATTCGGCTGCTTCAAGATTAACGGATAACATGGAAGGGGGATGAAAAAATAAAGAACAGTAATGTAGCATGGGAATCAACTATTATAAGACCTTGAATGATAAACTTCTGCACTTACTATATATATATACTATGTTACCAAAAATCTGAAGGTTTTTGAACTGGGAAAGTCAATATAAAAAGTGTTAGAACTCGGAGGGGGGGGGGTGTAGTTGGCAAGAAAGCACTTGCCTAACAAGTGTGAAGCCCTGGGTTCAATCTCATGATGGATGGATGGATGGTTGGATGGATGGATGGATGGACAGATAGATAGTAAACAGATGATAGAAGACAGGAGACAGACATTAGATAGAAGATAGATAGATAGATAGATAGATAGATAAATAGATAGATAGATATAGATAAATAGATAGACAGACAGATAGATAGATAATAGATAGATGATAGATAGATCATCTAAAATAAATATTGAAATGATGTATAAGATGCAGGGTAGGTAGATAGCAGCTATAGGAGGGGAGACTCAGAAAGTGTCCTAGGACAATCCAGGTAAAGAAGAGGGAAGCCTTTGGGTCAACAGAAGGTCTGTTAATTTCCTATGTGATGAACTGGTCTTATACTGACGGATGCTTCTACAGAGCTGTCAAAAACACTTTGAAACCAGTATTTGTAATGTTCCTCTATCTAAATCAGTCACTCTGAGTTTCCCAGGCCTGATCTCACAGGAAATGTAGCCAACGGTGTACCCAAGGGCTGTCCACCATTGGCCTTTCTCCTTCTCTTCCACTGCCTCTGGCCACACCCTCCTCAGATCTGCCTGAGGTAATCTTGTGTTCTTGTGGCCTAAAGAAGGCATGATACATGTCTGCAGCCTTGCCTGTGTAGCACTTTCTTTTCCTTGAAGAAATCCAGATCACCTACTCCTAGGGTTCTGGGAAGATACCAGCGTAGTTCCTGCCTGTTCTCTGGCCTGTGCTTCAGATTGGGCAGAACCCTGTCCCCTTATTCAAAGACAGGCCTAAGGGTATTATGACCCAAAGAACTCCAGTCTGTGTGGTCTTCCCTGATACTGAATAATATAAGACAGTAGCCTCCTCTAGAACCTGAGCTGTTGATGATGGTTTGGGGGGGCCCCAGGGCTCCCCTGTCCCCATGTCAACAGGGGAGAGATGCAGCGCCGAGACTGGAAAGGACAGAGAGAGAAACTGAGATAGGAAAGGGATGGCACAACAGCAGGTAAGCCCCTGCATACAGCTGCTCTGGGCTCTGCAGTGATTCACAAAGGCTCTTCCCTTGAGGTTGGAGGCCATCAATTCTATTGAAAGTCCTAGGCCACCTACTTTTCAACTACTTTTCTCACTATTACCCAACCATGTTTCAAACAATCTTTCTTCCAAGTTTTTGGTGGGTTTTGGTTGTTTTGTTTTTATAGTACTGGGGATCAAATTCACAAACTTGTACATACTAGGAAAGCACTCTACCAATGAGATACATTGCCAGCCCTTGGTTTTTTGAAACAAAGTCTTACTATGTAGCTCAGGCTGGCCTTGAGTTTGCTATGCAGCCAAGGCTGGTCTTGGACATAAGATTCCCCTACCTCAGCCTTCTGAGTACTGGGATTACAGGCTTGCACCACCATGCTTGGCAATCTCCCTGTTTTGTGAAAGAATCCTAAACTTATCCTAGACATTTTTTCCAAATTAGACTCTCCTCTCTATTTTTACCTGTTAAATTCCTATCCACTTACCAAACTCTATAAACAGCATACAAAATGGTATACATACAATACATATTCATTTTAGATGCTCCCTGAAATGGAAAACACAACAATACATTTGCCTACTGAGTAGATGATTTACATGCTAAAAGGAGTACTCGTGTCTAGAAAAATATATAGACCATGGAAACAAGACCATGGGAAAATATGTATTTAACATAGAAATATATTCTTGATAAATTTAACAATCAATGCAGGTTTGAATGGGACTGGAGAGACAGCTCAGCACTAGTTGCTCTTGCAGGGGACCAGGGTTCAAATCCCAGAACCCACATAGCAGCTAACAACCATCCATCACTCCAGTTCCAAGGGACTCCAACGCCCTCTTCTGACCTCCATGGGCAC